ATTGTAAATGAAATGAACCAGTTTGCAAACCACAGATGACAGCAAGAAGGTGGACCACACACACACAAAAAAAAGTAAAATGGACTGATATTACACATTGTGAACTTTTAGCATATTTAGGTTTAACTTTAACAATGGGACTAAAGCCTTATCCTTCTCTTTCTGACTACTGGTCTACCTACCTTCCTTTCCATAATCCTTGGTTTACTAACATCTTCTCTAGGGACAGGTTTTTAGCTATCCACACCTACTTACATTTCAATAACAATACTAATGCTCTTCCTAGAACTGACCCTAACTATAATAAACTTTTTAAGGTTAGACCTAACACAGACTGTCTACTAAACTCTTTTGTTCCCACTACTCTCCTAACAGAGAACTAACTATAGATAAACAGATGCTGGGCACAAAATGTAGAATTGGTTTCCTTCAATATTTATCTAATAAACTGTCGAGTGGGGAATCAAGTTGTGGGTCCTGCCAGAAACTGAGTGGATATTGTCTGAACTTTAAGATCTACACAGGCAAAAAGGGACAATTGCCAGATAAAGGTTTAACAGATATTGCTGTGATGGAACCGATGGACAAATACAACAGACTAGGACACTGGGTTTTCATGGACAACTTTTACACTTCCCTTCGTTTATTTGACAAACTACTGACTATGGGAACCTTTGCTTGTGGGACATGCACGAAAGACAGACTGTATTTCCCACAGCAACTGGTTTCTACAAACTTATAGACAGGGTAAGCAAATTTTTTTAAATGTGGAACTCTGATAGCTGTGAAGTGGACTGACAAATGAGACATTTATGCACTTTAAACTCTAATACTATGACAACTGTGACAAGAAGAGGGAGGGATGCTGAGGTTACAAAACCTCAGTTAATTGTGGACTACAACAAGTTTATGGGATGGGTGGACCTAAATGACCAACACTTAAGTTACTATTCTACTGGACGAAGGACAGTAAAATGGTATAAAAAACTGGCTTTTCGAATTTTGTACAAACAATAAACCAATCAGCTGGCATTATCCCAGAAGGCCTTCAAAATGGACCTGTTCACAGCTCTTATTGAGCCTCTACATATAAGCAGACCAGGTCCTTCTGGTATACCACTTTCAAGAATTGTGCAGGACTCATCACCTCTGAGACTCACTCTTGGCATGCATTACACAACAGTTGTTGATAGAAGTCACAGGAAGAGATGCACACTGTGCCTCCCAGAAAATAAAGTAACAATGAAATGTAAACTGTGTAATGAATTTCTATGCATTAAACATTTTGAAGAGTATCGTACTAGTGTTACTCTTCAAAGATGTTAATTCTTTATCTATGTCTACTCTCTTCCTTTGTTTACATTTTTTTAACGTTTGTATTCCAAAGTACAACAGTGGTTACTTTTTACATTAAATTTTGACTGAAATATTTTGTAAAGTTTTCTTTTGTTATTCATACATTAGTGATACTACCTTTCATGTGTGAAATCAGTTTACAATGTCTAAAATGTTAGTAGTAAAATACCTATGTTAACTTGCATTCAATGATACAGTTTTTCCTGTGTATAACATTAGGTATGTTTTTATTTCATTCTGGTTGTTCCTTTTATCATGCGTTACATTGTATATATTTTGTTGTGTTAGAATGTGTATAACTTGTTATTAATTCATGCATTTTCTATGTGCATTATTCATTTTAGAGATGTATATCATTTGTGCATAACTTTATTCTGCAGACATCTGTACAGTGTTGTATCTTTCTAAAATATTATGAAGAAACTTTTTTTTTTTAGGTTTTCTAGCTGTTGGTGTTGCACAATTTGATTTTATTTTACCTCAATTTAGATAATTAGAAGAAGAATACAAATTCAGCAAGCATAACTATATGGGCCTACAAAGTCAAGGTATAAATCTCTAACTATAATAGTAATACCAGTATTTTGCTAAATATAGGGAGTTTTGACTACCATACATAACATATGTATTTATAAATATTGTTATTATTTATTCACAAATGCTCAAATTTTAGTTAATTTTCTTAAAACCTACAAGAATAAAGAAAATATACTTCAAAAAACAAAGATTACGAGTAGTTATGGCGGTTTTGAGACTTTGTGTTCGAGTGTCGCACATGCTAAGCCTCATTTATTCTTCTGAATAGAGGGTGTAGAGTTATTAATTTTTTATGCTTCAAATATACATATAAAATAATAAAAAATATATCTGCTTACTATATTAGTGCACACAAAACATTTGTAATTTATTTGGGTGTCTAAACAAGCTTTATGTGAGTTTTAAAAAATCCTATTTCTCTTCAGAGCAACAACTTAGTTATCACACTTCAACAGTTTAGAGGAAATTACGATTTGCTCCTTTAAGCTATTTACAAACAGCTATAAGATGTACGTACACAACTAACTGTTCTTTTTATTGGTTATAAACTCTTAGAAAAATAAAAGTAGGTGGGACTAGACAAGAGGTTTTGAAAGAGTGGAGTAGTAGGAGGAGCCAAACTACTAGATTGGCTAAATATACTTATATCTCAGCAAATCAAAGAGGTAGGAGGTTCTTATTTTAAATTATAGCTTGCCCATATCTCCAATTTGAATTTCTAATTCATTAACTACTGCACACATCATGTGGTAGGTGTAATTAATTATAAACTGAACAATAACACAACAGGAAGTGTTATGTGACATGCAAAAAATAATATATATCATTTTTTCTTTATATTTTCTTTTAAATTAAGAAATTAAAACTTATATATAACATTAAAATGTGAAATATAACCTTCATTTTCATGTGAATCCCTTTGATATAAGTAATAGCAAAGCTATTAAATAACATTTTAAAAATAGTTCTCTAAAATGTCATGATATTCACCCTTTGACCTGCCCATAGCGAATAGATTAATAACAGGAGAAGGTGGAAGAAATGATGATTTAAGAACAGAATCATCTAATATGACACTAGCATCTTTTGGCATGACAGATATTGGTTCATGACTTAAAATAGACCATACCTGAGGGAAAGGGAATTCAAATTAGCTGAAGCGTTTTCAGGATTAGGGCTAGCAGACACCGAAGTCAATTAGGCTTGAGCAAAAGACTGATCTTGTTCAAAACCATGTGAAAAGAGTTTCTTCCATAAACTTGAGCATCCACACAATCATGAAACATATACAAGACACCAACAGACAATTTTCCACTAAATGCATGAATCTGTTGATCAATGACTGCTAACAATGCTCCCATGAGATCTACCTGTATGCTAGAAGCAGACTGCATAAAGTAGATTTTCCAATATTTGTAGAAGTTTTAACATCAGAATTAATGTTGACCTCAGAATTCATAGCAAAGTTAAAAGCACAATTGTCAGTAAGAAAGTCTGAATTATAGTGGGAAGACAGAGCTTATATAAGATATCCTGACACATAAAAAATAAGTCACATGGAAGGTGGAAAGTGGAGAATTGTGGTAAGGTGATGAATGCTCTGCATTGCATCAATGACATTCAGAAGTTTGAGCCACGTGACTATTGACAGCATGACATTAAATCAATAAATATACACCTGGAAAAAAGTTAAGCACCCCTATGTTTTTTTCAAGTGATTCAGATTCGACGTTCTTGTGACTGATTATAAATTACCATTCAATCTAAACGTGTTTATCAAATGAAATTATGCATTATTGGGCACAAGAAAACAAGATTATCACCGTAAAATAACAATTTTTAATTTACATATCATGACATCAAAATATGGACAGTTTTCACGCTTAAAATAATCGTTAATAAGTATTGTCAGTGAAAGCTCAAAAACGTTATTGAATTGTCAAATCACATTACAAAATGTCAATCATGACCCACACATTGATGACTGCTGCAACCCTGCGCCGCATACTGCCAGTTAGACGTCTGATTTGTTGAAGCGTTATTTGTCGCCATTCTCGGTGCAAGTGAGCTTCTAACTGTTGCAATGTCTGTGGAGGAGGCTCCAAAGCCTGTATTCGCCTACCCAAGTGGTCCCACAGATCTGGACTTCTTGCTGGCCAAGGAAGAGTGTTGACGGATTCATTCACTAAAAAATCCCTATTGCAATGAGGTCTAGCGTTGTCATCCATG